TATACTAAACAGTATTATTTCAGCTACCAATGGAATAATGTTTTTGCCTGTTTGCTACTGCAATTTTTATGCCCTTACAACTTATCACAAGTAATAAATAATAGTATAATAAGCCTCATGGTGCGTTGGTTAAACTGCAATAATGAAGCCAGAACTGTGCTCACGACCTGGGGTTCAATCCCAGGTAGCCGGCTCAAGGTTGGCTCAGCCATCTATCCTTCCGAGGTTGGTAAAACTTGTAAACCACCCAGAAAGTGCTTTAAGCACTTCAGGGCTGTATATAAACTGTACACTTTGCTTTTTAATGACATAATAGCTGTGAATATATAAATGTCCTTCTTGGCCAAAGTGATCCTTCTGTTTGTATCATAGTGTGACCAAGTTTTTTTTTTTTGAAAAATGACTGATGCTAATTAAGATATAAAATAACTTAGATTATGACACAAATAACTCCTCAAATGTTGTGAACAAAAAGCTTCACAGTTGCAATCACATCCCTGCATAACTGAAATTAAGCCTCACTGAGAATTTGGGGCTTTCTTCAAAGTATAAATGTGCATAGGGTTGCAGTGTCAAATATATGCTCACCCAATTCCCATTTGTTTTCCTAATATACTGCGGGGGGATTTTAAAGCATGCCAGTGTAGGTTTTCAGCCATTAGTCATGGGCTAAATGAAGGCTTTATAAATCAATGTTGCTTTCAAAACTTCTTGCATTTGTTGCTTCAACACCAGCCTCCTCAAATCCACAAATGGATTTTCCCTGTTCTCTTGCAAAGTGCATGATGTTAAATAGCTCCTCTCTGACCTCAACTACCAGGTTGCTGCGTTTCAAGCCACGCATGCTGTCCTTGTTTAGCACTTCATTCTGAACTCCGGAGAAAATAGCATGAGGCAAAATAGACATTAGGCTGCGGGTGGGGCTAGGCTTTTTTTTTTTTTAGCTAATGCAAATACCATAGATGGTCATTTGGGAGGGAACAAGGAGACTAATTTGAGCGCTGATTTCTAGATGAGACAGTCAAGCCAACTCTTGAACGAAGATGTAAGCTTAAATTATACATAAGCTAGAGAACGTTCTTATGCCAGTGCACATTTACAACAGAAGCTACTCATCCGTTTTCTTTTCTCTAGGGTGCCATTTTCTTCTGTGCTCACACACCAAATTAACTATTGTCTTCTTGCAAAGGAAACTGACCATTCTTCAAGTTGCTGCCCATTTATGGTTTCCACGTACAAACTGGGATCTGTATGCTCTCGCCATCCCACGTTCACAATTCAATGCCTTATATGGCTTGTAGTTTTAATGGGGAAGTCTTGTTACTTAGCATAAGCTGGTACACAAGCTCCTGATGTACAGTGTTTACCAAATAGGTTAGAAAAGGATGAAAACCACTCGTGCATACAAGTAAAATATTCCTAACAAGCTGCAGCACCTCATATTAAGTAAAGGCTTCGTGTGATCTTGATTAATTTATGCTCTGATATTAGAAATATGGTAAAGCAGTGCTCACAGCTTTTATGCCTTTGTGTATTACACCTGTGAATGTTACATAGCTAAAGGTACCCCTTTCCTTCATAATCATATGAATGAAGGATATTTGAACAGCGGGCATTATCGCCCAGGTTAAGAACCACTGAGTCAAGTCACTGATTTCCACACCTGTTGCAGCATATTCTGAACAGCAGAAGCCTGCATTAATGCTGGCAAAAGCTGAACACAGTAGGGAAAGATGAAGACTGAACAGGAGACAGATTAACCCATTGATTAGCAAAACCTGAGAAAAGCTCTTAATGGTGGGACCTCTCAGAAGTTAGTCATTCATAGTGGCACTGCAACTATGAAGTGACATGACAGCACATAGCAATAGAGTAATCTACAAGGTATCTGCTTGAGATCTTTCTCCCCTTGCTTTATGACACAAGGAAGTTCTTGAAAACAGATTGTTGTTTACATCCAGTGTATTAAAACAGCTATGTCAAGGAAAGTGTTATTGTTATTATGCACTGCCAAGTTGCCACAAAATTATGGTGACTCTATCAATGAATGATAGTGTTCCCATGGTGTGCTTTCTGTAGCACTGAACTTTATCTTCTGTGAATGTCAGTCAATGCATGTCCATTTGTTAGGTTAATAGGTTTAATATATTACCTCTTCTTTGGTTCCTAATTAAGCAGACTCCAAAAGACCAGATAATATCTGTGGATAAACTCATGGCAAACATTCCTCTTCAAAATGAAGTTTTTATTTGCATAGAATCTAGATAAATTCAATTACCTTCCAAGAAAACCTTCTGGATATCTTTCAGCATTGTTTCATAAAATGCTCCTCTTTTCTGGGTAGAAAATTGACTGAGTAGCAGGCAAACTGAAGGTATTTTGCTTTGCTTTGTTGAGCAAACTGAATCAATAAAAATCATTCAAGGAGTATAAGAGATTAATGTTATTTCAAAGACAGCCAAGTGTAAATATTTTATACCTAGAGTATATTCATCCTTTCTGAGCCACAAAGTTTTAAAATTACAGTGGTGCCTTGCATAACGATGTTAATTGGTTCCCAAAAAACCATTGCTATGGGAAACATCGTTATGCGAAATGCCATTTCCCATAGGAATGCATTGAAAACCGGTTGAAAACCTATTGGAACGGATTGCCATCCTTAAGCGAAAAAACCCATAGGAAACATCGTTAAGCGATACAATGTTTCCTCCATTGGAAGCCTATTCAATGCATTCAATGGTTTAGCGAAGTCAATTTTTGCAAATTTACGTGTGTCATAAAAGGGTCAAAAATTGTTTTAAATGCATGGAATAGATTCTGCTCCTTCTAAAATGGGCGCAAACTTAATTTGACTTTGATCTGACTTTTCGTTAATTTTTGCTGAATTTTTTTCTCCCCCACCAACTTTTGACAGCTGTCAAAATTTGACAGCTCCATTATTTCCTATGGGGGAGGAAAAAATTCACAAAAAAATAACGAAGACTCAGAAAAAAGCCAAATTAAGTTTGCACCCATTTTAGAAGGTGCTCTAACGAATCCAAGTATTTAGAACCGTTTTGACCATTTTAAGACACTTTTTAAAATGAAAAAAACAAGCATCGTTATGTGAAGCAGGGGACCTAAAAACGCATTCGCTATGTGAAGCATGGTCCCAAATTTCGCTAAGCGAAAATCGCCCATAGGAAACATCATTAAATCGTCCATATTATTTTCTAAAAAAAAACCATTGTTATGCGAATTCATCGCTAAACGGGGCAATCGTTAAGCGAGGCACCACTGTATAAAAAGATCGTATAAAAGATTACAAAGACCCATTAGGGGTAACTGCTTTAAGATAAAATAGCTTTCTTTTACCAAACTATAGTTCGCAAATGGCTAATTAATGCACAAAGCTTTATTTATTTTTATGAGTGAGCCGTTTTTTCTTCTCTAAATCTCATCTAAATTTTCCTTATATTTCTATTCAGTGATAAAAACTGAGGTTATCCTTTTTCAGCCAATGATATTTTGCCACTACTTGGTTGAAGTTTGCAATAAGCAGCTTGACAGTATTTTTTGGGTTCTTTAGTATTTGTTATTAAAGGTCAGCACCAACTGTTTATTTATAGGTCCTGGCATGCAGAGCCCTCTCTGCGGGCACGCAAGCCATACGTTGCAGGATTGCTACCCCCGGCAGCCAAACCTGAGGACACAGCTGCAGCCGCAGTGCCAGTGCCCTGACAGTCAGTGGGCCAGGATCTGGAGCAGCTGGCACTGGCAGGGGTTGGTCATAATCGGAGGCAGATCTGGAGCGGGGTCTGGAGGCACCTCTGTTCCTGGGATTCCCCCTTCTGCCACCACTTCTGCTTCCACCACTGCCTCTGCCCACTGGTGGGTTTTTGTGTTTGTTTTCTTTCCAGTTTGGGCACTTGGGCTCAAAAAGGTTAGCCATCACTGCTCTAAGCTCTCTCTGTTCCTTTTAGTTACAAAAATTCAACAGATTTTATCTATTCTCTGACTATAAATGCTTATCCATATAGCCGTTCGAGCTTGCTTTTAGAATCACTGATGAATATGCCAGCTGTTGTCATTTGTCATATTCAGTTGGCTCTTGGCATCTGTTTTACCTGTTCCAAGCTTTTTACCATTTCTTAGTATCTCTTTGATATAGACAGAACCAACTAAGCTTTGCCTCTTTGCTTGTTACTACTTCCATCAGATATATTTTAGTTTACACCCTGCTTTAACTGGCCACTTGACTTTTTTAAAAGTTTGTCATGATAACAAGGCTCCCCTTCCCCATTATCTATACCTCATAGCTCATTATAAACATAGTTTATTGATATTATGGCAAGAAGCAATGCCCTTTTGAAGAACTCTGCTCTGGCAGTTATTCTTTTATTTATGGAGTTTAATGTCTAGATAATCAAACCAGGAGCAGTCCTTATCTAATTTGGATGATTCTTTGTTGTCGTCGTTTAGTCGTGTCCGACTCTTCGTGACCCCCATGGAGCAGAGCACGCCAGGCCCTCCTGTCTTCCACTGCCTCCCAGAGTTGTGTCAAATTCATGTTGGTTGCTTCAATGACATTGTCCAACCATCTCATCCTCTGTTGTCCCTTTCTCCTCTTGCCTTCACACTTTCCCCAACATCAGGGGCTTTTCCAAGGAGTCTTCTCTTCTCATGAGATGGCCAAAGTATTGAAGCCTCAGCTTCAGGATCTGTCCTTCCAGTGAGCACTCAGGGTTGATTTCTTTTAGAACTGCTAGGTTTGTTCTCCTTGCACTCCAGGGGATTCTCAAGAGCCTCCTCCAGCACCACAATTCAAAGGCATCAGTTCTTCAGCAGTCAGCTTTCTTTATGGTCCAGCTCTCACCTCCATACATCACTACAGGAAAAACCCTAGCTTTGACTAAGCGGCAAGGTGATGTCTCTGCTTTTTAAGTTGCTGTCGCTGTTTGTCATTGCTTTCCTCCCAAGAAGCAGGCATCTTTTAATTTCGTGGCTGCTGTCACTATCTGCAGTGATCATGGAGCCCAAGAAGGTAAAATCTGTCACTGCCTCCATATCTTCCCCTTGACTGTGGTATTCCTTATAATTATGCATGGATGTGGACAGTGAAGAAAGCTGAGAGGAAAAAAATTCATTCATTTGAAACACGGTGCTGGAAAAAGAGCTTTACTGATACCACGGAGTGCCAAAAAGATGAATAATTGGGCGCTAGATCAAATGAAGTCTAAACTCTCTCTAGAACCGAAATTAACTAAGCTGAGGGTATTGTACTTTGGGCACATCGTGAGAAGAGTTACCAGAAAGGATAATTATGCTACAAAAAGTTGAAGGAACAGGAAAAGAAAAAGACCATATAATGAATGGATTAACGTAATAAAGGAAACCACAACCTTGTTTGCAAGCACTGAGCAGAGCTGCTAATGACAGGAGTTTTTGCGGGCCACTAATTCATAGGATGGCCATGAGTCAGAAGCAACTTGACAGCAGGTAACAACCACACACAGTATCAGGGAAGGGAGTATTAGCCCATCCCTCCTAAGCCATGACCACCACGGGAAAACTGCCATTAGGCTTCCAAAAAGTGGTCGCTGATAAAGACTGTAATAAGAGAAAGGATAGAGTTTCAGAGAGGATCACAGGAGCGTCAGGAAAAGGAAGATTTGTCCTTTCCTCCCCTAGGAATGCCTATCAAAGCTTTTGAAAATCCTGAATGTCGTAAGGGTGAAAGGTGTGAATGGGGAATCTCTTTTCTCTGATAGGTAGGTAGGATCTCCACCCCTTTTGCAAGTTCCAGTAATTAAGGAATCCAATAAATACTGTGATGCCACAACTTCAGTAAGCATCTGTGTATCTGAAGATCAATTTAAAATGTCATTTAAATTAAAAATGTGCAATGATTGGGACCCAGGTGAAATGAAAACCATATAGCTTTGCTCGGCAAAGTATAACACTCATGAAAACTGGGCTGAACATCTGGGCGGAATACAAAAATGCACCTGCTTTTCCTACAAAATAGGAACATAGTTGGAAAAAGCAGTTCTCCCCTTCCCAGCTTAAGCCTTTTGCTTTCCCCACTTCTATTCCAGATAGGTGGACATCTAAAGAAAGTTCATGAGGTCTTTCCATGGGCATCTTAAGGAGAAAATAGGGAGGCAGCTAGCCCTAAAATATTTGGGAAGGAAAGGGGTATCTTTTCATAAAGGATAGACCATTAGTAATGACTTATGTGTACAAAATCCTTAAAAACATTATGTCCTCTCACACTACTTTAATAAATAAGCTCAATTCAAACGTGTGTCAGATAAAAAATATGGATGATTTCAAGAAGCCATTTGAGAAAAATGGATGATATTCAGACATGTCAAGAAGTCAGACCATCTGACCAGAAGTCATGGTTTAAAGGCTGTGTCTATTAATATTGAAGATCTTGACGCAGGAGTCGGCCCCACCGCTCGCCAGCTGCAGCCACTCGGAGCTCTCCGCTGTGTCCTCCTGCCCAGCTCTGCCCACGCATTTTCTCCAGCACAGCTGCTTGACAACAAGAGTGTGGCTTTGGCTGCAACAAAGGCAGAAGCTATTAGCGGAAGGAAACCCAATTCATCTCTTCCAACTGCAAAATGTCAAAACTCAGCTGGACTTTGTCAATTCTAAACGTCAGCATTTATCTAATTAGCACACTCCATTTCAGCCCTGCCAGCTTGGAGAAAACTAAACTTGTCATTGCCTGTAGGTATTAAAGATGCCAGGGCTATTATCAGTTCAAATGACATTTCTTCACTTGGCCCCATCAATAATTCAAACGGCAGTCTACTTATTTCCACTGTAATTCCAGGTCATACATCACTATTATGAAATGACAGAACGAAAAGAAAGCAAGGAATCGTGTTGCTCAGAAAGTCTGAAACACAGTGTCAGAGCATATAGCACCTGAAAGCAAAGGTTCTGTTTAGACGCAATGCCAAGCAATAGTTCGATGTTGGAAGAGTGTGTTGTGAGCTCCCTCCTACGCATCCTGGACAGATTTTAACTTCTCCTGGTTTTCAGTAACCACAGTTTAACAACTGCATTCCCACTGGCAATCTATGGCTAATGCCTTGACTCTGTGTCACACATCATCATCATCATCACCATCACCATCATCATCATCATCATCAAAGAGATTGTGCATCTGTGTGTTTCTCTCTAACATATTGCCAAGAGTATGAAATGGAAACGTTTGAAACTTCACCTGGATGACAAGGTGACCCTACAGATGTGCACCACTGGAATAATTTGGGTTTTGCTTTGTTTTTGAAAAAAACAGTTTCATTATATTCAGGTAATTATCTGTTTCTATCTTGCAGCAGCACCTGTGGACACTTGCTGGTTCACATATTTTTTGTACCTGGAATGAGGAAGCCAAAGTCAGGCCTGGGTATTTATTTTTCAAGCAAGCCTTTGCATGGCTCTACATCATACTTCCCTTTGTAGGGCCTCAACATTCTTTCAACAGTTAGAGAACAGGATGATGCTGTCTGGTAAAGGAGGAATAGAGGGTGAGTAGCAGAAAAGGGTAAATAAGCAATGAGAGTGAGGGAGAGAAGGACCAACAAGAAAGATAAGGGAAGTGGGGAGAAAAGAGAAAGAGATGGAAAGAGAAAGCAATAGGGTATGGGGGGAGATAAGGGGTTTTCTTAGTCTGGCAACGTGGCAGATTTCTGCAAATAGCTCATAAACATACTTGAAATCATAGTTTTAAATTGTGGTTTGCATACAAAGTGCAAGCCACAGGCTACCAATTCAAATATCACAATAAACAATAATTACTGAAACCTTGGGGGAAAGGAAAGATCCATGCAGGTGCTCCCAACAGTTAAAATATGGTTTGCCACTGCAAATTAAGCCAATGGCTGAAATCCTGCTACTTTGTTTAAGATGCAGAAGTCAAATGGCATAATATTCACTTGCTTCTAGATAGCAATTAATAAATTGCTGTTGCAATTCTGGAGTGTGCGAGCATGTCGGACAATCCCAGTAGGACTCATTAACCGCCAGCTGGAAGTAAGTGAATGCTGCACCATTTGCCTTCCACAGGTGTAAAAAAGCAACAGGATTTCAGTCAATGTCTGGCTGCATAGACAGCTGCAACTAGAAGGCCAAGTGGAAACTAGATCATCAAATTAATATATATACTAGTCATCTACACTTCTTGCATGCGTGCGCACGCACACATCTATCTGGTCTTAACACAGGAGACATGATTAAAAGCAGAAACTACCTTGTGCAAAAAAGGAACTGGCCAAATTTTGCAGTCTGCGACACTGAGCTGCTATAGAATGTACTGCCTTTACAGTAAAACAAACTCCAGGAGGAGCAGTTATGTACAGAAGCCAAACTATGACAAAGGAACTATGTAAAGCCTAGCTATTGTGCTAGGGCTAGATGCCCCAGTGGACTTTTTACTGCGTATTTAGGATGTATGTGGAACCAGGCAAATAATCTGAAGGAAGAACAGATGCTGCTGGTACACTAGGAAGCCCTTTGGGCCAATTGAGATGAATGGAAAAGTTAATGGCATGGGAAGAAATGTGAACAGTTAAGGGCTCACTGGGCCTCTGCAGCTGCAATTACAAGACAGATCTCAAAAGACACAGAACTTAAAATCCATTACAAGCCCTTCAGGTTGCAGCATTTTGAAAATCCTGCGTCTATCTTGTAAAGCAGTGCTCCCCAACCTTGGGCCTCCAGATGTTCTTAGACTTCAACTCCCAGAAATCTTGGCCAGCAGAGGTGGTGGCGAAGGCTTCTGGGAGTTGTAGTCCAAGAACATCTGGAGGCCCAATGTTGGGGACCACTGTTGCAAAGGGCTCTAAAGTAAAGCCTGCCACACATTTGTATGCATACCACTTTATGTCTCTGGTAGCTGAAGACTTGCAATTGAATAGACAACTGCTGAAAAACACAACATCTTGAGCAGTATATCTGTTGAGAGGACTATGCTATACCTCCAACTGGCCAGCTAGAGTTGCAGTTGCTAGAAAACATATCTTCCACACTGTCAGGGTAGGTATCTTCCCATGGTCTGCACATCAAATGTAACAACAACAACACCCCCAGAACAGATGGGGGCTGTGCCACATTCACTACTGTTCATTTTGCTATCAGGGCATCTGCAAAATACTGTTAGCCTTGTGGACAAGGCACACTCACCCATGAAAACTGCAGTTCTGGAAATGCCATTAGCCCCAGAAACACATATCTAGTTTTCAACAAAAGGTGTCTCTTTTTTAAAATAAACTCAGATTGCATTCGAGCTCCATTTTCATATTAAGGTCTCAAACAAACCTGAATTGTAATTCAAGTTCTTCATTCCAAATAAGCGCAGGACTTAGAGAAGAAGTGATATAGTAATACGTGCAACAGCCCAATGAGGAAGCAGTTATGATCACACACAGCCAATATGTCAGAGAATTTTCTGTATCTGGTGTAGGTTTCTCATATGACAGTCAGATCCCAGGGCCATGAACCCATTGGCCATAGTCAAGCCACTTGCTTTCATCGCTTTCTTCCAGCTACCCTCTCCCCCCGCGATCTGAGGGAGATAACACTGACCTATTTTACAGGGTCATTAGAAGGATGACAAGAAGGCAATGTTAACTCCCTACAGCGCTATGTAAAGGCCGCATACTATTAACACTTTGCTTTCTTCTAAGGTTGAGAAGAATATCAGGCAGAATGGAGGTCAGGTGCTCCTGCTGAATTCCTGCAACCTACTGTGTAACAAACTGTTTGGATGAACAGTCTGGAAAGGGCAACTCTTCCGAGCACCACTGAGGACCCACTTCCCATGTGATATTATGAGAGAGGAAGGCATGTTGACATTGCCCTGGTGAAAGAAAAGAAGTCCTAGGCTCATTTTGTTCCAGAGGATTCATTCTGACCCTAAATACTTAGGCTATGACTAGCATATGTAGTACAATGACTGAGATCCTCATGATACAGACACAGATGATTATATCAAAGATGCAGCAAAAAGTTTGCAGTGATCGTAATCACTATACACATTGGTAATGAGAAGATCAAGGGAGATCCAATTCATATTGGACTCATCTAAGACAATTTTCACAACACTTGAACCTGAATTAGAAGCATATTACTTTAAATGTCATCATTTGACTTGCTCACATGCTCAGGAAGAACTCCTGTTCAGCAGACCAAAACCTGCTGCAATTACCTGACCGTGTTCAAAAGAGGAGCCAAGCAACTATGCAGAGACATGGGCATCCACAACAATGATATATGGCTAATTCTCTTGATCCCCTCTCCCCGTCATTGATATTTTGGTTTTACAGTAACCTTATCTCCCATCTTTCACAATCTAAGTGCATCTGAGGAAATCTGAGGTACCCAGCCCAAAGAGAGAACAAGGGAGGACAAATAAGACAAAATAAAATGTGAAATGGGTGGGAAACAGAAATACAACCACAGCCAGCTTTGCTCGTACAAGCTTTCCCTACTTCCACCGTAGGTCCTCCTCTCACATCCTAGGACTTGCCTTATGACCCCTCAACCTTCAACAGGGTCTTGGAGAAGGGGGGCAGCAGCCTGTGGTAGAAATGGGAAACCCCTTGTGCAATCCCAGAAGTGGATACCATCCAGAGTTTGCAAATAATTTTCCTTAAATACCACAGCAGATATCATAAGGAACAACAATATTTGGCATTCACATAGGATTTATGAAGTGTTTGGAGCGCTCTTCTGGAATCCTCCCAACCCCTCTGTAAGAGGAGTCAGAATTTATCCTGTCTTTTGGATTTTTGTCAGCCTGTTAGCCAAATAACAACTTCATTCATCAGACGGCCATTTTTTCCCCTGCCACACTTTATCTGCACACTTTATTTGAAAACCTGTGGGCCCTGTGAGGCTGCGGTCAAACCGAAGTACCAGCAAAAGCATCAATTCAAATCATTTGCTGCCAGGAAAGAAAAGTGCAAATTGTGACAAGTGCTGCCAGCAACGGTTTGCCGACCTTGGTAGTGAGTGAATCTTATCACAAATGTAGCAGCAGGCCTGGAAACAGGAAGGGCCACCTCAACAGTTATGCAGAGAGGGACAAGTCAGAACCAGATACCCCCATTTCACACTGCTCTGCCTCTCAATCAGCTATAGAAGCCAGGGCTTCTGAAAATGTAGGTCTGCTTAACCCATGAAAGAATGCCAGAAGGGTCTCATGAAACCAGCAGAAGAGGGGTGATACAGCCAAAATGCTTAAGGCAGTCTTATGAAAGAGCAGGTTTGTTTAGAGCCTCTTTCGGGCATTAGAATCTTGAAGCAGATTACCTGTTATCTGTTTCGACACATTTGGTCCAGTCAGAGAGTGGCAACTTCTCGTCTCCTGGCTTCCATTTGTATAAGTGAATCTTCCCACCTTCTGTTCCTATTGCAATGATATAGCTAAGGAAAGGAGCAGGTCCAATGGTTATTAAAGCAAACCCATTGCCCAGCCATGGATGCTTAATGCTTGAAACATGTTCCACCACTTGATTCTAATCAGGAGAGCACAAACCAAATACCCCATGAAGCATGGCTATAAAAGGTAATACTATAGAAATCTCCAATTATCTGCACAAAGACTTGGTAGGTTGTAAAAAAGGCATGAAGCATGGCTATAAAAGGTAATACTAGAGAAATCTCCAATTATCTGTACAGTTCAAAGACTTGGTAAGTTGTAAAAAAGGAGCTCTGCCAATGCGGATTCTTAAGTATGACTCTCCAAGACACACGCCACCATTGTTGATATTGGTGCACTGCCCCAACTCACAGGAGAGATGTCCTTTCTTCTCTTAAGAAGTCTAAAATGGCGGTGTGCCCCAACCAGTGCAAACCTATGCATTTAGGCTTGCTTAGATACAGCTAAGGGACGTGGTGGTGCTGCGGGTTAAACTGCAGAAGCCTTTATGCTGCAAGGTCAGAAGACCAGCAGTCGTAAGATCGAATCCATGCGACAGAGTGAGTTCCCGTTGCTTGTCTCAGCTCCTGCCAACCTAGCGGTTCGAAAGCATGTAAAAAGGTGAGTAGATAAATAGGTACCACCTTGGTGGGAAGGTAATGGCATTCTGTGTCTAGTTGCGCTGGCCACGTGACAACGGAAACTGTCTTTGGACAAACGCTGGCTCTATGGCTTGGAAATGGGGATGAGCACCGCCCCCTAGATTCAGACACGACTGGACTAAATGTCAAGGGGAACCTTTACCTTTACCTAGATACAGCTAAAGCTTAATGAGATTGATTTTTGAAAAAATTAACATTAGCCATGGAAAAGCATTGTTGTGACACTACACACTTGCAAGATACACAAAAAACAGTGTGGGATAAGAATGGAGAAAAGAAAATATATCTTGTGAAGACCAATGAAATGGCTGGAAATAGTGTGAGGAAATAGTGTGGGGAGCAGGTACTTATGGCTACTGCCGTCCTGCATCTCACCCACACTGGTAACACTGAGCAAAAGAAATGCATGATAGACTGTTATATTCACTCTTTTTCTCAGCCCAGTTATTGGTTGCTGAATCTTCTTGCCATCATGTTGGATCATATACATATGGGGCCATGGTTTGGTAGCAAAGGGCTAATGTCACATTTATCTAAATCTAAAAAGCATTATTTGCGGAGAGCGAACAGACGCAAGGTACCATGACTGGCTTTACTCCAGTTACATACAGCCATGCGAAGAAAAGGTCTGTGCTACTTTATGAGGCATTATGGCCAGCATGTGGAAGGGTGCAGGGCACACAAGAGTATGGAAAATGAAAAAATGAACTCTGTAGTGAAGTGAAGGTTTTGAAGAAGCACCTTAAGAAAGGCAATCGCAAAACCTACTTGGTGTTTTTTTCTGAAGATATCAACCAGATGTGCATGCTGTTATTTGGCACAGGCAAATGGCTCCTCTAAGGACACTGGGATGCCTTACCTCCGATCTGGTGCCAGGACATGACTAACGCTAACAGCAGTGACAGAATCTCCAACATCCAGGACAGATGAACAGAGCTGGATTACATCCAAGTCATTCTCTTTATTCTCTTCTGCAGAACAACAGTTGCCCCATATCATGACCTATTTGAAGTATAAAAAGCAATCACAAAGCCATTCACTGGAAAGGAAGTCGAACAAAGGTCATACATCTAGATTAGATAGAAGCCTTTTGGCAGTGCATCCCCTCATCCACACACTGACAAGAAGTTAACTGACTCTCCATTCATGGGAGTGGGAGTTTTGGTACAATTTTTTAAATTTGCTCTATTTCTGTTATATTTGTATTGCAAACCACTTTGACACTTTTTAAAATAAATGGTGGTACTGTATAGAAATGTGCTAAACACATGCGTTTATAATCTTGCCTTTCTTCCAGTGAGCTCAAGGTAGCATATACAGTATGGCTCACCTCATCCTCTCTGAACCCTAACCACAACCCCATGAGGTGGGTCCAGCAGAGAAGGACTGCCCCAAGTTATGCAGTGAATTTCAAGGCTTGGTGGGACTAGAATATGGACTAGAGGTGTGCAGATCTGGTTTTGGATTGTAGCTCCCAGAATTCTCCAAGACACATTAACCTTTTCAAATGAACATGATTTCACATTCTACTTTTCTCACTATTCCATCCACTCACACCCTTCTTCTCTTCTTATAAGTCTCTTCTTAATCCTATAAGCCCCCTAAGGAGTAAAAGTTTGTATGTCTAACTTAATGCTATCAGGGGGACACAGTATGATACCAATTCAAATAAATAGCAAATCAAAAAGCAAATATAAAAGCCTTACACACAAGATGCTGAAAAAGTTCCATACTGAGAGTAATTCCCTCACCTGTTCCAACCACAAATCCAGTACAAGTCTGAATATCATTCCACTTTTTCTCATGTAAGAGCTAGAGGGAGAACAGGAGACAGAGGCCCTGTTTTCCTGCCAGGACCTCATGGGCAACAGCAATAGCAAAGCAGTGTTTGCTCCTTCTGCAAATGGCCAGTATGAAGGCAAATGTCTCTCCCTACTCCCAGTTCTCTGTGCATGATATAGGACTTGAAGAAGCAGCAGAATGTGTTGGTATATTGCAAGATATAACATTCTACCCACTGTGGGTTAATATCCTTAAAGACCTCACTTGTCCCTTATAATCAATGAGGCTCTATAAAGCTTGGTCTCTCTCCCTCACCTTCACCCTTCAATGGTGCTAACGGATTGAGAGAGGCAGAGACCATGTGTGCTTGCCTGAGTTTGTGGGCATTGCCTGAGCTGCTGTCACTTTAATTCCTTTTACTGTTTGGTATGTTTTTGTTGTGTAGTTTTAGTAGTTTTATGGTTTTCTTAGGATGTCCTGTTTACCCTTTTCCTCAGAGAACTAGATAAAGATTATTATTTATATTTTGTCTCAGTGTCTCAAACCGTTTTTCCAACAGAATGACCAGAACCACAGTCAATGAGTGGCAAATACAACAAGCCAAAATATGTGATTCATATACAGTGGTGCCCCGCTTGACAATTACCTCATTAGACGAGGAAATCGCTTAACGTTGAGTATTTTGCAATCGCTATAGCGATCGCAAAATGATATTTTAATAGAAAGTTGCTTGACGATGATCAGTTCCCTGCTTCGGGAACTGATTGTTCGCTTTACAACGATCAAAACAGCTGATTGTCGGGTTTCAAAGTGGCCACACGCTGGTTCAAAATGGCTCCCTGCTGTGTTTAGGAAGGCTTTTTCGCTGTACAGGCACTGGAAAATGGCCGCCCTATGGAGGATCTTCGCTGGACGCTGAGGTATTTCACCCACTGGAATGCATTGAACCGGTTTTCAATACATTTCAATGGATTTTTTACTTTTGCTTGACGACGATTTCATTCTACAGCGATTTTGCTGGAATCGATTATCCTCATCAAGTGAGGCACCATTGTAACAGAAAACAGAATACACTGTATTACTAGTGATTCAAGTAAAATTAGCGTGGCACTTAAAAAGGCAACATAATACATTGTCGCATGTGATTTTGTGGGAAAGAGTCATGACAAGGAGCCATGCCACAATATTATTCAAAATCCCTATTACACTAATAGCTTTATTTTATTAGAATAATTGTGTGCTATCAGGTAAATTGTGACTTATGGCAACCCTGTCCAGGATTTTCTAAGTAGTGAGTACTGAGAAGTTTCCCTTCTTCTAGGGGAGCCCTGGGGCTGTGCAGATTGCCCACTTCCCAGAAGGCACAGTGGGGAATCAAACTGTCAACCTAAACCAT